ACTTGAAGCGTTGGATGCGATTTTGAAGCTGAAATCGCGTTCGGTGTGAACGCAGCATAAGTTTATTTTTTATTTACACATCAAAACAGCATTTTAATAACAGGTAAAGGTGATACAGATACTTTATTATGGTATATTATTTAAATGTATGCCTGAGAAACACACAATTTTGGCCCTTTAAAATAAAAAAAAACTAAATTGTATTTCTTTGTTTTTGATACAAGTCTTTGACTGAACTTTAAAACACTTTGGTCAGCTTTTGTTGTTTTGAATGTGCTATATAAATACATTTAACATTGACGTCCATGACTTTTTATGGGTCATGTGTGGGGTCACTCGTGTTTTAAAAATCAACCAAAAACTGTAAAATCTTGCCTTGTGAACCAGGCATGGGGATCTAAATGCAGTACTGTTGCAGGAACCGTAGCACAATTTGACCTTCAGACCCACCTTGTAGAACAAACAGGAGCCGAGTATGACGTAGAGACGCCTCAGGCCAAAGAAGTCCTCTGACTGCAAGAAGAAAATAAAACATAAATATGAGAGTAATGTGGACGACAAGTTCTCTGTCTTTGGTTAGAAGTTCACTGCTGTTGTTGAGCTGAGGTTGAGCTGTGGCTTTCCATGGTTTGCTATAAACAATAATACTTCTTGTTCCTAGTTATAACTATAGCCGTAAGAAGACAAAAACAGTTTCATTTGCAACGTTTTGCCTCTACACAAAATAAATGCTGTGTTCTCAGAAGAAACCATCATCTTCTTAATAAAAAAAACACACCATGAACACGACATGAACACCTCTTGAAATAGGCTTACATTTTTCTCTCTCCTGACGAGACTAAAAGACAGATGGTATATCACCTCACACGTCACCTAGCATGCACGTGTCCTCTAACTGCGMCAAACTTAGATTCAGTAACTCAACACTAATGATGGAGGTATAAATAACAGCTGGAGTGAGTCTTGGTCATGTGACCGTGTGATCTACTGTAGAAGCAGAACAGGCAAGAGTCTGGATTTGTCATTACTCTATATGTTGACAACATAGCAAACAATAAGAGATGATTATGTAAAAACTGTAAAAACTATTAAAGATAATATTAATGAAAATTTAATTAATATATTAGAGTGTATATAAGCTATCTAATGGATATAAAAATGCAAGAAAACTATGTGAGTTATGGATACATCAACAGAAGAGAAACAGGAAAATGTCTCATTTCATATGTAACCAGATTTGATCTTATTCATCTCAATGTGGATGTGATCTGACCAGAACTGAAACTAATAATTTAACAGTTCAAAATTAAATTAAGCACATATTTCAACTAACTGTTCATCATCATCAACTTCAAATCATTTCCTCACCATTTCTCCAAAATCAGAGGACTCAAAATCAGATAGAACTGTATCCACCTCCATCTGTGGATTAAAAAAAGAAAAGTTCGATTTAACAGCACAAAACAATGTGTTTTATTTATGTTGGTTACAGAAATTGAGCTTGAATGTTCATTTTGGAATAAAAACATCATCTTTTTTAATGAACACAGGAGGGCGCCAAAGCTAGATTAAAAGCAGAAACTGTACAAGGAACTACCAGAGCACTGACTCAGACAGCAGCAGCTGAATTTCATCCACTTCATTCCAGAAACGCACCTTTATTTCTGGCGGCAGAGTGAGCCATCGTACCGCCGGTAAACCGTCTAAAAAAAGGGTTCCAGAGACGTCGGGTGACGGCGCCGAGGAGCCTTCCTTCAAACGCAAAGGCTGGATGAGCTGCTGGAAGAACAAGCAGAAGAAGTGGTCCAACCTGGGAGCGTGGTCCTCCTTGCAGAACGCCCTGCAGGGGACACAGGCGAGACGTTCCATCAGGTCAGAATAAACAGAACTACAGAATAACCAATCTATGGGTCATTCTTTGTTTGTTTGTTTTTTCCTGTTTCAAAATAAAATTAACATTAATAAAATAGCCATGATAATTTATAGTTTTTTCTGTTTTCAAAACCTAAAATGTAAAACTGAACTAAATAAAAATCCAGAGTGTTGGATTTTTGCTTCAGCTATTTTTGGGTAGTGACCAAAAGAACGAAATTGCAGACACAAGTGGTTGAAATGAGTTTTTCCCACGGGGCAGCTGGACTCTCCTTTAGAGATAATGTAAGAAGTTCAGGTATCCAGGAGGAGCCAGTTGAGGTGGTTTAGGCATCTTGTAAGGATCTTCTTGGAAGCCTCCCTAAGGTTCTTCAGGCATGTCCGACTGAGAGGAGACCCCGAGGAAGACTCGGGACACAATGGAGAGACTTCGTCTCTCGGCTGGCTCGATAACACCTTGGAATCCCTCCAAAAGAGCTGGAAGAGGTGGCTGGGAAAGAGAGGTCTGGACCTCCCTGCTCAGGTTGCTGCCCCCACAACCACACTCAGAATAAGCAGAAGATAATGGATGGATGAATAAAATATACGGTTGCTGGTTTAATAAGTAGTGATACCAGAAATGATGGAAGTTGTCAGAGAATAAAAGATTATAGTGGCTGGAAAAAAAGGGAAGCTGATCTTAAAGTCATCCTGATGCATCTCAGTAACCCAGGTAGTTAAAAAAAAGTTTAGTAGGTCCTCTGGATGGGTTTTTCTTTAATGGAACAACTGGAGGAGAGACGAATCGATTCATTAAAGAAGAACTCGTCCAGAGGACCTACTCAACCTTTTATTTTTAATTTTTTGATCCTAAAGATATTGACAATGGCTGCACTTGAACCTAGCCTGGCCCTTGCCTTCCCTTCCTACTCATTTCCGCTCAGTTCTAGTTTCCCTTCACTGCTCCATCTGGGATTTCTCCCATAGACAAGGATTTTGGAGAATTTTCATCTGGGCCAATCAGAGAACAGAACATCGATTTTCTGCGCAGTGTCTGCT